CTCAACTAAATACCTCCATCAGCCTTAGTGGCCGCATTACGGAAACCCCCCACACACACATGCGCGCATTGGTAAGGGTCATGTAGCTTTTTGGGGTTTCTTTCGCGTATGGCGACGGTGGGGTACACGCTTACTGGCTAAGAGAAGGATGAGTACACTACTTATCAGGGACATGAGTACCGCCCACCTAAGACATTGAGCGATTGGTTACGGCCGATCATCCGTTCCTGTGAAGCGCTTCTTATATCTGGTGGCTGTATAGGAATGATGCTCCTGGAGTCATTTGATGTTTGATAATCTGCCATCTTAATCTGCACAGAGGTATCAGAACTCGAACCACTTATGTCATTTGGATCATCCATTTCAGCTACCATCCAAACGCTCGAATCGTTATGTACCGTCCCCCGGTGCTGCACCCAGTTGAATGAAGCCCAATCGGGTGACTTAAAAATGAAGTATAAGTAAACTGGTGCGCCCATCGCCATGAGGCCGGACCTTACCGTGGTGCGACGGTTTGTGTGCCTCAGCGATCCATTGAGCTATGCTGGGTGGTGCTTTTGCACCTTCAGAGTCACTCCTACCAGATTGATCAATGGTTAGAGGCCAGACAAACTCAGCCTCCTGGTCCTCCAGCTTGGGGGTTGGAGTGAGGGTGGCTCCTTACTCCATAAAACGGGCTCTCTGTAGTCCAGTGCCACAACCCTGCTGCCTTGCGATAAGGTTTTTGAACCAAAGGCTTTGGTTGAGAACCCTAATCGTTCTCCTGTCTAGGCCTGGGCAACCTGACAGTATTCTGCCCACGCAATACAATGAACCTCTCTTCAAACAAATTTCCTGATGCTCTGGCCACCGCAGAGGATAATCAACGGTGCTTTATTTGCTGCATCGAGCAGGGTGGAAAGGGGGTTCCGATGCTACTGCTCAAGCCTTCCTTTCTTTCCCCCCCCCTTACGCTTTTTCACTCTTACCGTCCCGTTCCAACTTCACTTTTATCCCCCCCCCCCCAATTTTCAACCCCCCGATTCATGGCCCTCCCCCAACGTGCTTTGCCAGGCGTTTGTCTTCTAATTTCAATTCACATGCTAACGCGGAGCGTAACTCCTCTCCTGTCGACACGCCCATGTCCAACCAAGCTGTCCATTCCAGTTCATCGGCTTCCATTTGGAGCCCTCGATCCTCCTTCAGATTGGCATGCCTCAATGTACGCACATTGCTACAGATCGGTCAACTGGCAGCACTTGCCCGAACATTAGAGACCCTCTCGATCGATATCTGCTGCTTATCGGATACTCGCCTGAAAGACTCGAGCTCCTGGCTCACTCTTCGATCCCCTTCAGGTGACGCAAGCAGTATTTTCTCATTGCGCCTATCCGGTGACGATGCAGCTTCGAGCACCGGCCAAGCTGGTGTTGGCATTGCCCTGAGTCCCCAGGGCTGAAGCTGCTCTGGTTGATTGGATTCCAATCAGTAGCCGGATGTGTGCGGTCCGATTGGCTGGGTTCTTCAAAGCTTCAAAGTCGCGTGGGACTAATAGGTGTCTATTCATTATCGCTGCCTACGCGCCCCAAAACTATAGTGATGATTCAGTAAAGAACGACTTCTACCGCCAACTGACCCAGCTCCTTCGCCACAGAAGAAACACGGACACTGTTGTGCTGGTGGGGGCGCTGAACGCACAAGTTGGAAGGTTGTCCACTGATGAAATGCATCTGAGCGGTCCGCACGGTGTAGCCTCCTGTAATGATACCGGTGAGCGGTTACTTCTGTTGTGTGAAGATGCCCTCTTATTTCTTGCGAGCACTAACTTCCGACACAGCACCCGCCGGAGGGTGACTTGGCGCCCACCAGCCTTGGACGCAGATCGATCACATTGCTACCAGTTACCGCTGGAGTGACTGCATCCAGAACTGTCGCTCGATTTGGTGCACAGGTGTGGACACCGACCATGCACTTGTATGTGCTGACATGCGGATGCGTTTTGGCGGACGCCCACGACGACGCTGTGAATGCATTGACACCAGCCAACTGATAAAGCCAGCTGTTCTGAATGCGTATCGAAGTATGCTGACATGCGAGTTGAGTAAACGCTCACTGGACACAAATGATGGTCACTGTTCACATGTTCATCAGACCTTACTAGCAGCAGGCAAATCCTCATGTGGTATGTCTAATCGCCAACATGGATATTGGGTCTCTTCGCAGTCGCTGGAACTTATCGACGCTCGCCAACATATTCCGGCTGGAAGTGAACACAATGAAACTGGAAAAGAGCTCCGGGCACGACTCCGTGCTAGCCTGAAGAGAGACCGCGAATCCTGGTGGTCTCATCGTGCGTCAGAGATGGAACTGGCCACTGCCCTTGGCAACCATCGTAAGTTATTCCGTCTGATACGGGAAACGGGCAGCAGGAGACCTGGTATTAGTGAAACTATACGTGACGAGAGTGGACAGCTTATCCACAATTTGTCACAACGTTTGGAGCATTGGGCTGAGCATTTTGAAAAGCAATTTAATTGGCTAGAATTGTTCGATTCTTCGCCGGCCAGTGATCGCCCTGCTCCGTGGGCTGTCCCTTTGGATCCACTTTCGCTCAGAAGTCGAAGGTTAGATCGGACTGTTGAAGTTGAACAAATCTGCCGGACCAGATGATCTTCCTCCAGCGCTCTTCACATTCGGGGGACCTGCTCTTGTTGATGCTTTACATGAATTACTAGTGAAACTGTGGGAGCAGGGGACTGCCCCAACCGACAAGAGCCGCTCAGTTATTGTTCACATCTTCAAAGGAGGCTCGCGTTCCGAATGCGGCAACCATAGAGGAATCAGTCTGATCTGAATCGCTTCCAAATTCCTCGCCTCCATAATTCTTCACAGACTGGCTGGCACTCGTGAAAGCCAGATTCGTGAGGAGCAAGCCGGGTTTCGTCGGGGTCGTGGCTGCATCAACCACATCTTCACTTTGCGTCAGTTGTTGGAGCACCGTCACACATATTGGCGGCCCACCGTAGTCGTGTTCCTCGACATCAAAGGTGCCTTTGATTCGGTTGATCGATGTGCCCTTTGGAATTGTCTACTCAGGAAAGGCGTGCCTGAGAAATATGTAAATATTATCCAAGCATTATATGCGCGTAGCACAGGCAGAGTGAGAGCTTACGGCAAGCTGTCGCCACCCTTCAATATCTCCAGCGGTATGAGACAAGGATGCCCGCTGTCACCTTTCCTCTTCAACTTCGCTATTGACGAAGTCATGGAGATTGCATTTACAGGACATGGCTTGGAAGGTGTGGAGCTACTCCTAGGAGAACGACTTCTTGACTTGAAGTATGCAGACGACATTGCTCTCATCTGTGACTGCTCCCAGACGTGCCAAGCCGCGCTGGACAGATTAGCACTGGCTGTCAGCCGCTTCGGGCTTTACTTTGCACCATCGAAATGCAAAGCGTTCCTCCAAGTTTGGCAGGAATCGCCTCCTGCGCTGACCCTTGTTGGAGATTTGCTAGAAGTCGTTCGGAAATTCAACTACCTGGGAAGTTGTATCAGCGCCCCTAGGATCGAAGACGAGATCACGAACCGGATAGCAAAAGCTCGAAGTGCTTTTGCTAACATTCGCCACGTATGGCGGCGACGCGACATTACTCTTGCCCTGTAGGGCGGAGTGTACAATGCAGCGGTACGTTCGACCTTACTGTACGGTAGCGAAACCTGGCCCCTAAGATCGGCGGACATAAAGAGGCTAGTTACGTTCGACCATCGGTGCCTTCGCAGTTTGGCTCACATCTGGTGGGAACACCGCCTGAGTAACGAGCGTGTTCGACGCCTTGTTTACGGCACAGAAAAAGGAACTGAACCGCTCAGCACCGTTATTTCACACACCAGGCTCCGATGGCTGGGTCGCGTGTAACGCATGCCAGCCCACCCACTTCCACGACGTGCGTTGTTTGCTGGCCGGGGGTGTGGATGTAAGAAGAGGAGGGGTGGCCAAGCGATGACTTGGTCCAGAGGAATGAAGGTCTTCACTTCAAAGCTGGCATCGGTTGGAGCGTCTCGGCTCCCTGGTTGGGGTCCAAAAGACGATGAACACGTTTGGTTGGACACACTTGCTGATATGGCTAGGAGCGCAGACCTCAATGGCGTTCGTGCTGTGAGTTTCTTTGTCCCTCTCCATCCCTTTTAGCCTCCCCCTCCATCTACGATCTCATTTCGTAGCGTAAAACATAATTTTTCTTTTTGCCTAGTAGCCGGCTGGTAGCTTACCGGAACGATGCCTATCCGTTGCTGGTAGCTCAGCTGGCATGCAAATGTATTTATTTTCCTTTTCCTTTATTTATTATGGCACAGTAGCTGAGGTGTTTCCTACCTCTAGCTGACATGTATAATGATGATAATGATGAAGCTGGTGCGGCACTTGAATCGCGTTGATAAATGTCATCTCCTTATATGGGATTCTCGTGATTAGACACAACCATGGTTAAGGACGCTCTCTGGTGTGGTGCAGCCGAGTAGCCAGTGACGTTCTTTCATTCGTTCGGCCATTTTCTTTTTTTGTCTGTTCTTTTTAAGTTTATATTTCCCTGCAATTCCTCTAAATGGTCCTCATTAGTGGTTGGATAAATTGATCACTACTTTTCTTATTTGTAATCTCTGTCTGTTCTTTCAACCACTTCTGTGTACACCATGCTTCATTTTCCCGTTTTGCCTTCATTGACATAGTCATGCATGTGCATCAGCTGGATCTTCCGCATATCGTTCCCCGCTCCGATCTGATTGAACCAGCTTAACCATGTATTTATCATCATGCTTGCTATCCGGATCGTACCCAATGTTGCGTTTTTGTTTTATCTCCCTCGCTATTTTGTGATCTTCACATAGGCTCCGCTCGCTACTTTTTCACAGTCTGTCTCCATGCTACACGTAGAGGATTGTTTCGACGCTGATTGTCTCCGGATATTTTTCTCCGAATTATGTTATACCTCTTACTCTAACCTTTGTTTGCTATTCCACAGGGACATCGCTCACTCTGCCTTCTCCAACGTTCAAAAGATTGAACAAGAAGGTGTGAATCCTTCAGCCACTGGCACCCTTTCCTACCCTCCGGGTACTCTGCTTTCTTCTCCAAGATTGGCTTCTGGTGATCGTGATGTTTCCACCGGGTCTTTCTATTCCAATTCCGATGATCTCTTTGGTGAGCTATCTTTTTGTGGTATTTCATCTGACGAGCGGACACATCTTGCATCACATATCACACGTTTTACATGTATGGCTCCGCAGTTTGCGATCATTACAGGTCATCTGTGGTGCACGTCTTTCCGCTTTCTTCGTTGCTTTCCCTGAGCATTTATGCTACATTGTAAATGTTACCCGACCGGCGGTGGAGCAGTTCATGCGTTTAGCTTGTAATTCACGAGTCACCGATTCGACTCTGCTTGTATGTAAGCGATCTCGTGTACACAACCACTGGTGGTTGCGTGGCAGACGAAGGCCCGTACGAAACTTCGGCCTTCTACCGACGGTGTTCTATCAACCATATCCACACAGTACCAATTGGTCACTTACCATCAAAGCACCCTACCAATTTACGCTGCACTGCCTCCGTTAACGCGTTAACACTAGTTGACATGGCAAAGAGCCGACCTCAATGGCGTTTGTGTTGTGAGTTTCTTTGTCCCTCCCCAACCAGCTTATCTTCTCCCCTCCTAATCACCATCTCTCGCTTGAAGCATACTACCTCATCAAGCAGTATGTTACCAGTTTTTTATTCTATACTTTTTCGCATCCCCTCACTTTTTGTATGGTGGAACAATAGCCAAGTGTGTTACTCACCTTCATCTAATGTGTAACGGTGATGATAACGGAGTTTTCGGCATTGCTCGCCGGAGTCCTTGCACTCTATGACCACCACTTCGACCCTGTTGTGTTGATTGAAACTACCTTTTAATCGGAATGCCTGTTCAAAGTATATCGGATGCTGACTTGTCTGTGAGATAAAAGCAAGTCTATTCACGAATTCCTCGAGGCACACCAAATTAGGCATAATCGTAATTTACAAACAATTATGTTTCGCGACAGATATGTTGCTGTGCATGTAATCGGCTGTGGCCAAGAGTTGTACAATCCTTGAACGTGCCACTGAGCAGTGAATACCGCAAGGGATTTGTTTCGCCTATTCCACTTATGCTCCACACACTATCTAGGTGATTGTTGTCGACGAATGTCGGGGGAGTGTTATCTCACCCTGATTTTATGGTTGTTTGGAGCATTTGAGTTTTATGTCAAGTTCCTCCTCTTATTATTCATTTGTGAGGTTTTCTTTGTTTGTGTAACATTGAAGCATCAACGCAAACTTCCAGCGTATTTCTGATAATGGTGACGATGTTGGTGCCATCGAGTGTGAACTATTGCTATCTGCCGGTTACCGTTTGAGGTCGGCCGGTGTCCGAGTGGTGTGCACACCTGGCTTGTAGTCAAAAGGTCACCGATTCGAATCCGCGTAGGGATGGGCGTCTTCGCGGTATACTCGGCCCACGCGCGACTGGTGGTGGTCACGTGACAGCGAATCGCCATTACGATTACAACTGACACGTATCGTAATTGTTGTTTGACAGCAACCCGGCCCTCGAGCCCGAACCACTTGCGTTGACCAGATTACGCCCCTCCCTCAGTCTGTTGATCACTTGTTCTGCATATGTCGTTTTCGGATTCTGTACTTCATCGAGTAGAGTCGCAGGCCATTCAGTCGACCACTTATTGAAACGGTCTGTCGACGTTGTTCCTAAGACAGTTAGGTTGGTGATTGTCGTCACTTTTACTGAACGCTGCCTAACCAGTAATATCCGTGGTTTGAACCTGACTCATACGCTAGACTAATAGCACTTTTCCTGTCCTCTTCCATCTAGTTCCTTACTCTTTCTTCAGACGATTACATCGTCTTGTTATCAACTCTTTCTTGATAAACTTTTTTACTCTCCATCACTTCCGTTTTTGTCATCCTTGCTGATTGTCCGCATCGTACCTACCAGAGTCGAGTCATTCGGGTCTGTTATCCCATTATCAACAAAATCGCAGTACGTGAGCAACTTGAACTAATACTTCGGCACCATGCGACCGTTGAATTAGGAATGATACGTGAGGAGAGAAAGAGACCTAGTATTAAATCTTACTGCCCTATTCGCGTAATCTGGATCAAGGCGCCCACACTTTGTCAACATCATATGATCTCACCAAAAGCAAGACAACATTTCACAGTAAGGTTCCTTTCAGCTTTCACTGCCTTTTGTTATTATCAACCCTACACAGCATTTAACACATTGTAAGTGGGGGATCGGACTAGAAGACGGCAACAGACGCGCCATTTGTGTCGGTTATGATTCATGTCCGGCAAAGTCCTGAGTTGGACGCAAGGTGGGATGCCTGGACTCCAGTCTGAAAAGTTAGACAGACCAATAGCATTCAGTTTAGTTGTCGTTGAATAAGCTTTCGGCTTACATGCCGACTTGTACCCACCTGGAACCTTGCACCATCTTACAGCTGACAACCGAAACAAGGCCCTCCGGGGTTAACCATGACTAGGCGTATGTAGTGTAATGGTAGCTGACAGGTTATGCGAGCGAAGCCGATGCGCGGCCATTGAACTGGAAAGCCAATCAACTTCATCAGCGCACGCTGCCCACGCTTGTACGTGCCGGATAAACAGGAACTGGTTTGCAGTGTTGTGGATCAAGCACGGTTTTAGTTCTGGCAAAAGGCAAACGCGTTGACATCGCGTGACTCTGACCTTGAGCTGACGGCGCATAGTGCGATGGTAATTTATCGACCGAACGGGCGGTACAGACGGAGCCGACGAGTGGAAAGACAGTCAGCGCCGGCCGTGCAAGCTGCCCATCATGATCATCATCAACAACAGCAGCACATCAGCCATCTAAACTGATGCTTCGCTACCATAACGACCTACGGAAAGAAGAATAATACGAGGGGGAGAAGGGGGACTTACCGAAAACCCTTAGTGCTTTAAGTAAATATTCAGGGTCAGGGCGCCTACGTCTTGTCAACAACGTACCGTCACAAATAGCTGGCTATCGTGTCAAGATAAGGCGGCATCGGCCAGACATCTTCCTTGCGGCTTGTACTGCCCCGCGTCATAATCAGCCATTATCTGCAAGCTGACCAGATTTACCCGGACCGGATGAACAGCCCAGAATTGGTCTGGGGTGTTGTGAACAAAGCACAACTTTGTTCCCTTCCAAATAGGAGTGGTCCAAACGGATGCGAACGGACGATGAGCGCGAGACAATAAACTCAGGCAGATGGCTAATCAGTCATTAAACGCGTGTTTCATTGAAATTGCGACTAGAATTATGCATACTTTACAATGACACTTTGTTCCTTAATACCAGATTTTTGGATCCCTGCTCAGTTTTCGTTTTAATTCTCTGAAGGCTATCCCGACATGTATCACATGCCTAAGCCAGCGCAACCATCTCGATATTGATTGTTACTTTAAGGAACTGGCCTGAGTATCAAAACTTCAAACCACCGTTTCGGATACGCTGGTATTATCTGCTACCAAAAGTGCTCTACACTTCGGTATATTTACAATTCGTGGTCCACAGAACTGTGAAGGTTAAAACTGAAATTCCGCTTGAGGTTCATCGCATGTCAGTTTTCCTTTCTGCATACGCGTTTTGCTTACAGTACAGTTTGGATTGTGGTAATGAATCAGTGTGTTTGATGGTTACTCGGTCAGTGACCTGATTTTACACTTGTTTTTCGACATGTTCTTATAAAATAGATAAATTAAATAAATTTGTGTTTTTACCGCCAAACGCTACACTGCCCCGTAAGCGGGAGCGATCATTTTTTTTGTTAGTCCCCTTACTAATTTCTCCTTCAGAATGATCTCCATTGTTCCCCATTATTTCCTCAGCACGAAAGCCGCAAGGTAACCAAGGCTCTTGGGCTAGTGATTGGACTATGTTATCTGCTCCACGGGAGAGTGAGTTCAGTGGGTCCTCGGCAGTGTCCTCCCTCTCTCCAACCCATTCAGCTCGAATCGCTGAGTATACCGCCATCACCTCAGACTGGAGCCGACCAGCTCCCTCAACGCACAGATCGCGCGAAGATCGCGCAACCAGGCGGGATAACACTGAGTTGTCTACCACACGTCCAGAGGAATTGAAGAAGTTTGCAAATGCCACTAGCATCTCTTCGGATGCTTTCTTTGGGCGAGAAGAGGTATGTCCTGGTTAGGCTCAACTTCTACGCAGAGCAGCACAATACTCACATCTTTGTGCATTGCACTTGGGACTCGTATTTCGATACATGTGATCGTTCCCGCTTCTCAGTATGTCGTTATCGCACGCTATCTATCTTACTACCTCTTGTGTGTGCGCCCTGTGACCTCACGTGAGGGCGTTAATGCAGGCTATTCACACCTCTTGCATGTCCCACTTCATCTCGTTTCGTTGCTAGTTTGGTCATGGTGGGGAATGCTTGGTATTCACCTATTCGAACACTTCAAATCAGCATACTTAGTCAACAATAATATCCTTTTTTTGTTTCCCCCTGTTCTTACCTCGCATAACCGTCAATTCTCTTTCCTCTCCTCTCTTTAGGTCGATGGTCCTGAAATCTCCCGATTTCAAGGCAGCTCCTCCATTTCCAGTGATGATTACTTTGGTCGATCTCGACCACAACCATCCAGTCAATATTCCCACGAACTACAGCAAATCAAGGATGGTGTCCGTCAAGGCGTCACCAAAGTGGCCAACCGCCTCTCTACCTTGGCTAGCGGAGTGGTAAACTCACTTCAGGTGAGCTTCTAGCCCACCTGATATCCAGCCAATTCACCAAATTGTCGTCTGCTCGATTACATTGAACTATCCTTTAAATTTTAATGCCAAAATGTCAGTCTTCATCTGTTAAATCACTAGGTGGATGATGCGCCGAAGTGGTTTCATGGTGCCTGATCAGCGTTCCCTCTGATTCGATAGTTCACTCCTCTTGGACTGTGCACTTTGGCATTACTGCACTGCACTCAGCCGCTAGACACAGACACCTCCGATTCATTCGAATGTTTCCCGATAATATCGAGTCTTTGTTGTCCTGATACGCGTAATGGATAGTGGTATACGCTTTCGTTCGCCTGTTTGTGAGATGTGCAAACATCGCCGGCCTGTGGCCGAGTGGTCTGCAGCTATTATGTCGCCGGTTCTAATCCGCGTAGGAGTGGGCGTCCTTGCGGTATACTCAGCCCTCGCGCGACTGACAGCGAAGCGCCGTTACCGCATACAGCTGGCGATTTTTGTGTTTGCAAACATCCTTTACTAATTTAGACACATCTTTCATTTTGTATCGGACAACTGCCTGATGGCTGTCATGATCTGTTTGTTTGGTCCATCTACTTTATTTCGGCGATTTGCTCCAGGGAATGACTTTCTTTTTAATGAGGGCCTGTAGGTTGGCTATCAGTTAACGACCAATTTACCTAGAGACATTCAGGGACTGGAGTCACTCGCGGCCATCTAATTGCTTCACCTAGTCTTTCCCTTCTTTATGCTGCAGCGCTGCTGTTTCTGATGTTAACCAAAGCAGTGGCGGGCATCGTTGTTAATGGGCAGTTCCATTGATTGATTTCTAACAAACGCGTTCAATACAGCAGATCACGATTATACTTTCATCCTGTTTCTTAACTCCTTTCTCATTGTCCTTTTCTCTTTTTCCCATCTGTTGTACTTCATCCTAACTCAAGCAATATGGCACGACTCCTGAGTTCGTGGACTGCGTCCTTTGTATATCTAATTCGTCTTTCAAATCAAAGATCCTGTTCCAAATAGGGTTTTTCATTCTTCCCGTTTCAAGCCAACTCACGAATACCCTCTTAGATTCGCTTGACAGTCTGCTTTTTGTCACCCTACTATCGATGCCTTAATCTTGCGTGCTTCTTCACTACGTTTTACCTTCGGTTGTTTAACCACGATCCATACATCGAAGTGGGTTCCTTCTGTTTGGCATAATGGATGGGAGAATGAGGCATAATTTTGAAAACGGCTGCATTGCAAGACATCGAGCGATTAGGTAGAAAAGTCAAGAGTAAGAAATCAGGTAGCTAGCACAAGAACTACACATTGTTATAGCATATCACAAGGCTCCCACCCATCATTACGATTTTACGTCTTAGTAGCACTTATAGTAACAGTATTTAGTTTAAACTACCTGCTACAAAACGGCGCTTTCGGTTGCGTTTTTGTTCGCGTAGTCCCAATCCGAGGCAGCAAAATGTCCCAAGAGCAAAACCCAATCAACATAGGTGCACTTTATCACCGTACCACTCAATGGTAAGTGTGCAGTTGACTAAAAGCTGCATCTGCAGTGTCGATACGCCGTGTTCCCACATTCTGGGCAATTGTTTTTCCGTAGCATTGAACCTTATTTTTATCTTTTGCTTCGCGGAACCTACAAGCGTGCGTATTCGTAATCCTGTGTCTTCAAGTCAAGAAACTGCTTTATGCGCCCTTCGCGGGTGTATATTCAGCTACAACGCACACACGGTCTCAGCAATATAACAACGTACAAATCAGTAACAAAACTAATAAAGCATAGATGGGGATACCATCATACTGCGAATTGGCTTGTTAGAACGACAGAGTTGGGGTCTCACACAAAACGTGAAAGACCGACGAGCGGTAGGCTTCTCTGCGAGCGCATACTTGTATTTCTACCTAGTGGACTAAGTTGTCAGACATACAGATGAAGCGTTTTCCGGGAGATGACTTGTATCGACAGTATCTTAGGTGCCAATTTCTTACAAGAAGTGGCGTGTATAGACAGAAGTGTGTTGACAAAAGTAATCAACGGGACGTCCTTACCTCAGATGAGTGCCGTAAAGACCTGATAATTAACTTAAGAGCACAGGGGAGCAGTACGTCTATTGTTGAAAAACACAGGCGCTGACAAAGCTGAAGATCAACTCATGAGAGACCGAAAGGGCTCTTAGACGAGAGGCGTAAAATGACAGCCGTCTGGCTTTTGTGAAATTTTCATTTGCGTGAAGAGTTAAATCATAGTTCAGTACCACACCTAGGTACTTCACTGATGTAAGTGAATGTAATCCATCGCCGTCAATATGCAGCTTGGCACACTGTGTAAGTAGCTGCTCATACCCGGCTCCTCTGTGTAGGAGAAAAAAGTATATCCTGATACTGTGATGCATTACGAGACAGATGACAAGTTTTGGACCAAATATTGGGATCGTTCAGACGATCTTGTCACATGAGTGAGGAACAAACGGTTTGGTGGTTGATACCAAGGACGATGTCATTGGTATATTTTAGTAGGGTCGCCTCTGGTTGACTTATTGAGCTGATCTCAGTAAAAACGAGAAAAGGTGATAGAATTGCTCTCTAAAGAGCACCGGAGTTGGTGATTAGTGGTGATGAGCACCTGCCACTGGGTCGGGTGATCTGCGTGGATCCAGCAAAATAATCACTCAGCAAATGGGCGATGTAAGGATATATTTCTTAACCGAATGGATCTTTTAGTCGCAATTCTCGGTTTACGCAGCTGCATGCCTTGCCATAATCAGGAAAACACCTACAGGTTGATTTGGTTCTTTTGTCAAGTGATGATAGTACAGAATGTACGACACAGTCCACTACATCTATGTCAGACTTCGAACTACGATAAGCGAATTAAAAGGCGTCATTCGAGTTAGTTTGGGATAACATTTCGAGAATCTTCAAGGCAACAGAAGTGCAAGTGCTAGGTCGATATTTGTTGCATCCCTTTTTGGCACTGGTGTGCTACTGACACCTCTCCAACAGTCAGCGATTTTGTGTTGATCTATGCGTTTTAGCTCGAGACATCTCGTCTGGTCCTCACCAACGAATTTCTTTGTCCTGTGTCTCTCGCATTCTGGACACTTAGGAGGGAAACCCAGGACTCTCAACTGATGATATTCTTTGTTCCTGATCAGGCGAGCACAACAGTTTGTTTCAAGATTTCAACCGTGCCTGGTTCTGAAGTATTCATTCAGTTTTTGCTATTCAGGATCATTTTAACCATACTCCTGCTCCGTTGACACCTGGTACTATAGACGGTACCTTCAAATTCATTGCAACCGTCTACTCTTACATGAACCAGTTTGTACTTTACGTGTATATTGCATTGGATTGGCGGCATCCGTGTCTGGTTTTGCTTGTCACTGTGGCCTTCATGGAACAGCTACAGAACACCTGCGCTTACAGAGGGACCATGGATGACTTGTGCTGCACCACCCACAGACCCATCCACACAGCCCATATCCAGTGTAAACCCGAAGGAATAAGACCGGGAGGCACGTTTCATCAACGGAGCCGGCCCACCCTCCATCACAGGTAAACCCAAGCACGCTGTATTTGGGAATCAAGCGCACCCAAGACGGTGACTGGACTGTGGTCCGCTCCATACTGAGTGCATGAAACCACTGTTTGATTCTATAGCACGTCCACAAGAACCGTGCACCCCGTCCCACGGAGTAACGATTCAGTCTCCTAGAGCCATTAATCGAGGTGCAGCGTGTTAGACAGGTGGACATCTTGCCAGCGAACATACATTGATAAAAACAGACTAACGCACGATTGGCGAGGCGAGGTTATCAACCCTATACCCAGGGCAGTCTAATGCCGACTGATAATTGGTTCTGAACATCGGCTTAATCCGGTTAATTGGAATCGCCTCTGCGAAAGGGAGAAGGCGAAAATTGGTCTGTGGTAATAGGATTGTGAACGCTGAACTGACCTAGAGTGGGTAACCTGGGGCCAATATCCCACATCCCGCCGGCACATCATCCACGTTTTGCTGCCGTATAGAAAAACGGACAGCACCATGGATTTGTAGACTATCAACTCCATGCCAACGCTAAGCTGATGGTTGTTCCACGCTCGGTACTCAAGCTTCTCGAATGCCGCCGCTGCCTTCGAGACGCCGATACGAAGCTCACTGTGTAGCTGCTGGTCAGTCGACACCACACTTCCTAGGTAGCAGAACCGGGAGGTGTTTTCCAATACTTCAGCACCAATGCTGATTTGTGGCAATATTGAAGATTGCACCTCCGGTGAAGGCTGAAAGCTACAGACAGTTTTGCTTGTGTTGATGGTGAGCCCGAATTTTGCCGCTGTCGAAGCCAGAGCACTAGTCATGTACTGCAACTCATCCGCGCTGTATGCAAACAACGCACAGTCGTCAGCAAACATCAACATACGGATAGTTGTCTCACAGACTAGAGTTCTCGCACCGAAACGACGGATGTTCAGCAACCCATCATCAATACGGTGCTTCACACGAACACCGTAAACACAAGCGGCATGAAAAGCACAAGACATCATTGCATGAGGATTTATATTAAACAGAGCAGGGGCTAAGACACAGCCATGCTTCACACCAGAGATAACTGCAAATTCATCCGAGGTCTGCACTCAGCTGCACCCTTGCCCGCATTCCACTGTGAAGACATTCAATTAAACTTACAAACTTACTCGGGCAACCAAACTTACCCAACACTAGCCACAATGCCTCGCAGTTCACCGTATCAAATACTTTCTCGAAATCAACAAGCAACGAGTGCAATGACTGGTGTCGTTCTCTGCACTTCTTTTGCAACTGACGGGCCGCAAACACCATATCAATTGTGCTGCGACCCGAACAGAATTCACATTGCTCTTCCGCCATGTTCGGTTCCACAACCTGACTGACCAGGCGGTTGAGCAGGATTCGGGCAATCAACTTGCCAACATAACTCAGCAAGTTGATATCATGATAATTTGTGGCACATTGCTTGCTCCTTTTACCCTTGCACAGTGGTAGCACTAGGGCATCCTTCAGCTCTGGAGGCACTTCCTGCTCATTCCAAGCATCTAGTTGGCGGCATCCGGTTCCGAATTTCCCTGTCACTGACCTCCATGAGACAGCCACAGGACGCCTGTGCCTACAGAGGGACCATGGGTGGCTTGCGCTGCACCACCCACTGCTCCATCCACACACCCGATATCCAGTGTAAACCCGAAGGAATCAGACCGGGAGGCACGTTTCATCAACGGAGCCAACATGCACAGCAGGAGGATTCTTGTCTATCTATGTAGGGAATCATGCGTACCAGACGTATGCAAGCTGGTGCATCGGCCGCAGTCCGTTCCACACCGGATGGAACCACTCATTGAGACTAGCACGATGACAAAGCTAGTGCGCCTCTTTCCCCAGCAACGATTCAGTCTCCTGAAGCCAGCATTATTAAACTGGGGGGTGATGAACGGGTTGGCACCCTGTCGAAACTCATATCAAGCTCAGCCAGACACTGCATATCACATAGGTTTCATTTGTCAAACGCACGTCCGACAAAGATAAACTCGAGTTTAGCCTGACTGAGATGACAGAGCACATCCGATGCTTCATCAGCCTCGACCTTGGCAACTGCCCAATGACAGTTCAAATCCAGCATAACCACGCACGTTCACATGCATCTGTCCGCACTTGTATATTAACTGCCACAAAAGGAATGAGAAAACATGTACCCAACGGACAATCATAATACGAACGTGCATAGGTTGTGATTGTAGTTACATCAACACTCATATACGTCAGATGATGGGAAACCGAATGCGCAAGAGTAAAACTATCTATTGATTAACTTGAACTGTACCTGGGTTCCGACGTTCTTTAGGGCTCGCGCAGCATTCGCCTTTCATCTGTATTTCGGTTTTGAACACTTGTGTATTTTTGGCTTTTAAAGACTGTTTCTTCACGACCATTTGTTCTTCTTCGCCTCATCAAGTGCAGTCGGTATACCCACTTATCTTCCTACTTCAGGACCGCCTAGGATGATTCCGCTTCGTGATTATCTTGTGGTTCGCTCTCGGTCAATTCAAATCCTGCTACTTCCGGAATCCCGCGTTTGCAGAGCAACGTCTTCCTCTTCGCCGTACGCGCGTAATCTTCGATACTTCTTACAACGTTAGGTGCGGTCAATAGGAAGCCAGCGTTCCAGTTTTCTCACCCCCCCATCCATCTTACTTATGTCAAATAACGGAACTTGACTGTTAACTTTGTCATTCTTTTCTCTCCCCCTTCACTTGTTTGATGGTTTTCTCCTCTTTCCACTGTTTTCATGGCATCGCTCGCGTTATTTTTGGTGTTTGATGTAGGCGCCTTTATTTCCACTGCTTCTTTTTCTGTTCGAACTGTCGTCACCTTGTGAACCGATCACAAACTAACAGTTCACTTATTTCCTGAGCACTGTTCTTTATTTTTGTTACCTTCTCTGGTACACTTGATTTGGGTCCATATTTCTTTGTATGCACCCATCTCGGATCCCTGGGTCGCATTTTGGCGATTCTTTCAAATGAGTTGTTTGCAAACCACTCTCACGGCTGAAGTCATCTGAGTTCTCTTTGCATAAAGCTACCTCGGTGAATTCGTCGCACTTTCTGGCCTATCCTGACGGCTTTGGATTCTCATAATTTAAAGGATTGTGAAGCGTCCATGATTGGCTAATCAACCGGTTGGTTCATTCGTGGAAGCTAAACCATCCAATGCAACTGATCATCCGTCACATTCTACCATTGTGCTTCCCTATTGACTTCAGTCTCGAATTCATAAAGGATGAGTTTCGTTGGCAACGATAACTCCGATAGGTCCACTTATTGTGATACCAGTCGCTACGGTTGATATGGATACTTAATTGAGTCGACCAGCGCAGTTCGACTCCTTCCTTGGACCTACCCTCCTGGTCGATACTTATTCGACTGATGTTGGCTACAATCCTTACCTCTATGGCTTACCAGCTAAGTTATTGAAACTAGTTGTAGCTCGAGGTGTGGATGCAGGTTTTGTGTGGTTCTCCGTGCTGCAGATGTCTCGTTGCCAAGCTTTGTAGTTTCATCTCTGCGACTTTCTGAGATCCGGAAGTGGCCTTGAAAGATGCGCTGTTGGTGTTGCCCGGCCTGGCAAAGTGTCGTCTACAGCTTGAAACACCCAACCCGAAGAACAACACAACTTTTGGCTTACCTGATATGGTTCACTGAATAAGGTGTGACTCTAAATCCAAATTGACCACGACACCGTTGCATACAAATGGTATATGCCAGTTCCATACTATCCGTCGATCAGCGGTGCCTTCTCAGATTCTCGCCCTGAGTTAGCACCCGTTTTTGTAGCGCCCATCCTTGGTGTTGAGATTTTTTTAGTATCGCGATCGCTTAGCTGCCGGCTGCCAAATTGATATGGGTCGTGGAATGAGGTGAACGCGCTGGACTGCGGATGGAAACGAATTGTTTGGCTCACTTCATTCGTTTACATATTGCGTGGACTTCTGAAACAGATGATGCTCTCGCGGATGCGTTTCAGATTACACAAAATACTGAAACGGCATAAACAAATACATCCGGGTTAGTGAGTACAGGAACCTGTGAATGAAGTTGGCCAATGCTATCGAGATTACCGGAGTGCTTTTCGAATTCGTTCTAAGCAGTGGTGCATGGAAGTCCTCAGTGTGCTAATCCGTGGATGCGGATGATTGATGACTTTTAACTTTCAGATCATTTAACTAGGCGGTTTGTGAAGCCGATGTCAACATCTAACAAATGCGATGCAGACTTTCGTTATCGAAGTGAAACATGGAATTCGATAAGATAACCTCATCCGTCGCAACGAGACTGGACTTTAGCTTGGTAGGACGGTTTGCGTACCTCCTTGTCCCATTGAGCTATACTGGGTGTTGCCCCCGGGCCTCTTGAGAGCTATACCTATCAGATTGATCAATGATTAGCGACCAGACAAACACCGCCTCCAGGTTACGTGTTTGAGATGGGATGGTATCTATCTCTGTAAAACTTAATCATTGCCACCATCTCGCTGCTTTTTGGACAGACTTTTGAGCCAGTCTCTGGTTGAGGACCTTGATCGTCCTGTCTAAGTCTGGGCGCCCTGGTAGTATTTCAGCCCACATACAACCATGACATTTTCTTCATACTTTAACCACATCCTGCATCAGCCGTCGCGCAGATTATCAAGCGTCGCCTTATCTGCTGCATACAACAAGGCGGATAAGCGAAAACATGCTACTGCTGGCGCCTCCCTTCTTACTTTATCACCTAATTATCATCCCAACCCCTATACTAACCTTTCTATAATTCCCAGCTTAGTCGACAGCAGCCTCAGTGCCACTGGACTCACAGCATCTGCAGCCACCTTCCCGCAATACCCATCGGACGCCTATCGACAACAGTCCCTTATAAGACCAAGCTGTTCCGTTTCGTTGACGACGTTCAACGTTCGCACTCTAAGGCGAATAGGGCAACGGACTGAAATCGCACGCACGTTGTACACACTGGGTATTGACGTGTGTTGTGCGTCCGAAACTAGGATCAATGACTCTAAATGGGGTTGTTGAATTAACTACACCCGGCTTATCCCCTCGTTATTGGTTGCACGCATCCGGAGACGCGGATGCAGCACTCAGGAGTCAAGGTATAGTCGATATGAAACACTGGTTTATAACGGGTAAAATTGCACAGACCTAACATGTCCCATAGGTTGGTAATAGAAGAAATTGTGATATTAATGGACCAAATGAAATACGCAAAGCGATAGAGTACTTGCGTTTAAAAAGGTGGTTATGGGAATCAGATAGTACAGACTAAAACCAAATGAAAAGTTGTGGTGGTTAATACTCATATCAAGTAACAAACAGATTGCTCACCTCTCTGCGCAAATTTACCTGTGTCCATGTGAGTCAATTCCAAAGTGGCTAGTTGGCCAGAATATACGCTCAAGTAACAAAGTGTAGAGCGTTCAATCCGATGTCCAGTCGTTTTTTTTTGAAAATAGCTGATGTGGGGGCACGGACAACTGAGTTTGTAAGGGTATTCCGGGGTTGGTAGACCCGGAGGGAAAAGTAATTTTATTGACATTCTAGACGACTTTGTTGACTCAGTCCCAGGCTATTGCCTCAGGTTGGTTTTCGGGCTGAGTTTTACTAGGTGGCGGCATAAATGAGTGGAGTCTCTCAGTATCTGGTAGACTAGTATGAGTTCTTCACATGACCGCCGGTAGCGTCCACTGAACACTCCGAGTGTCTTCAGTCGCTGATACGGAAGGTTGCGCAATCCCTTGACAAATTTCGATGCTAGACGTTGATGAGTTCCGTGCGCTGCAAGGTCACGCTTTAGCCAATGATGCTAAACCTGGATTGCGTATTCGACTTTGGGACACACGTAGGCATTGCGCATCAGAGAGAAGGTGAATGAATCTAAACTCCCTAATGACCTCCGCAACAGACCAACGTGCTGGTTACCCCATTTTGAAGCAGATTCTGATTGTCTTGAACAACTGAGATTGTCCTGTACCAGCACGCCGAGGTCACCTTCCTGAGAGCTTGTCTGCATCTCGTGCTCCCCAAGTTTGTAAATATAGGCTTCTCTATGGCGGATGTGGACAACGCGGCACTTGTCCATGTTAAATGGCAGTACATCCCTCACCGACCAATGCCAGGCCTCATCAAGGTCGTGCTGGGGGATCTCGTTTCGTTCATTCTTTTGATCGCCCGCCAAATATTAACATCCGCGAAAACCAAAAATTTTGAGGCGATAGCTCTCGCTAGATCACTGATGAAAACTAAGAACAAGTGACGCCCAAGCACTGAACCCTGCGGTATGCTGAATCGGGTCGGACTATAACCTTTAATTGCCGTTCGCGGAGAAACTTACCAATCCACCCTAATACTGGATATCCGATGCCGTAGAGCTGCACTCTGTGCAGGAGAATTCGATGATCTAAGCGATCGAAGGGTTTCAAAAAGTTCATGTGGACAACATCAATTCCTGTCCCCTCATCGATTGCTTCCGTCCAGTTGTCACGTTCTATCAGCAAATTCGTGGTGCATGATCGATGTTGACGTAACCAGTGCTGCTCCGGCACAATAATGCCGTAACTTTCCAGGTATCCCATCAGTACGTCCGCCATGATCGCTTCCATGACCTTGGCGAGCACAGGAAGAAGCGTTACCAGCTTGTAATTGGCAAGATCAGACCGACTTCTTCCCTTGTGAATGAAGGTTATAATACCTCGTTTCGGCCTTGACGGTACTGTATTTTTCTCGAAAAGCCGAAAACCACCTCGTAGACTCTTTCGGTCCAATTGTCGCCTGCTAACATCAGATTCGTGGTACATGCTCGGTGTTGACGAAACACTTGCTGCTTTGCAACAGTGATAGCTGGTCAGCACGTCGTCAAGGCTCTCTTCCATTTCTTTGTCGATCACAGGGAGTAGCGTTACCAAGTGGTAATTTGCAGCATCAGACCGACTTCTTCCCTTATGTGGGAGTTATAATACTTCGTTTCAACGTTGACGGCACTATCTTTTCGTCTAGATAATGCTAAAAGAATCCGGCAGATGGTTGAGTTACGTGCGTGGCTGCAACCTGCAGTGCTTTAGGGTGAATGGTATCCACTCCAGGAGTGCTGTGTGTACGCATTGATAGTAGCTTTTTCAGAACCATTTTTGCTGTGAATCTGATGCTGGATAACACTGATGGTGTCCCTCGATTTCAAGAGTGCGTTCGATTCAGTCGATTGACCGATTCTGTTTGAAATACTTGCGCGGAAAGGTGTTCCCACGAAATATGTGAACATCCTTCGTGCTCTATACTCAAACACTACAGGCCGCGTCAGGGTCTACGGTCTCTTATCGGATAGCTTTCCGCTCATAAGTGGCGTTCGTCAGGGTTGTCCGATTTCCTCATTCTTGTTCACTTTCGCCGTGAATTCTATCATGGAGTGTTCCCTTGGAAAATCTCATGATGTAGGCGTTGAGGTGCTGCCTGGTGAAAGATTAGTTGATCTAGATTATGCGGACGATATCGTCTTGCTTTTCGGCGATGTTGGGGCGGCACAATCAACCCTGATTAGCTTGTCCAGGGTGGTCCCATTATTTGGCATGCACTTCGCACCTTCAACGTGCAAAGTGTTGCTGCAGAACCACCAGCCACTTGATGACCCCTTGGCGTTTGCTAACGAGGAACTCGAGGTGGTTGATCATTTCACTTATCTTGGCAGCTGCATCAGCAACGATTGACGCATAGAAACTGGCGTCAACTCACGCATAGCGGAGGCCAGAGCTGCCTTCTTGAACCTGCGACATCTTTGGCGACAGAAGGAAATTTCCCTTCGTCTGAAAGGCTGTGTATACAAGGCCACAGTGAGGGCCGTTCTGCTCTATGATAGCGAGACTTGGCTCCTTCGGTCTGAAAATCTCAGGTGCCTCTAAGTCTTTGATCATCGTTGCCTGCGAAGCATTGCTGGTGTCGGATGGCACCAGCGTGTCCGCAACGATGATGTGCGTAGGCGAGTACTAGGTAGTGATAGTCATGCTAGCACGTTAGAACAACAGATAGCACTGAATAAGTTGCGTTGGTTCGGGTACGTGCTACGTATGCCTGGTCACCGCTTACCTAGGAGGGTCTTGTTTAGTCTACCAGGTGTAGGGTGGCGCAAGGCTCGAGGTGGACAGAAGTTGACTTGGCAGCGGGAAATGAAGCCACTGACGAGCAAACTGGGTGC